GAACAGCAGCATCAATGCAAAAGAAAATAAGTGGACGGTAATTCACCGCTGAAAATGCACCTTGTTCAAACCCAGTGCAATGAAGAATTGCCTAAATAAATTAGGCACGTTATGCCTGAATGCCAGGTTCACACATGGCCGATGAAAGCCATGCGCAGAGTACATTCGTGTCGGTTCCATTGCTGTGCAAGGTGTAATTTGCCATATATATATAATATATAATATAATAATATATATATATAATAATATATATATATATATATATATATCACAAGTAACAAAAAAACGAAAGACTGGTGGTCCATAAAAGCCGCTTTAAGACCGCAATACTGTCCTTACAGTTACTCGGTGACTTTCTTGCGTTAGCGTCACAGCCGCGGAAACTCCTGCAGTGACTCAATCCCTGCAACTAATGCACTCCACGTTTTGCCTGCGGGCAGATGCCGCCTCGCCGGCGGCCATCTGCCCGCCACGCCCATCCAGGAGAGCGAGCGCCGTTTCCGCTCGGTCGGCCTGGCGTAACGCCGACGGAGGTCACGGCGCCGGAGCGGACGGCCGGCCGCTCAGCAGGCCGGCGGCGCTGGGAAGCGGGGGCCGACGGGGCCGCGTGGGGCGTGGCCGCGCGAGCCACGGCCCGGCGCCGGACCCGCCGCCCGGGCCCGCACCAGTCACAAGCGCGGGAGACCAGCGCCGGGCACCCGGCGAACTCCTCCAGCCGACGCCGCTCCACGGCCTCAGCGCCGCGGCCGCAAGGTCTCGAGATGCTATTGACCGCCGACGGGGCTTGTCAGCGTGCCAGCTCAAAATGGCCCGCCGCCGCGTCACGGCGCCGACAGCAGCGACAGCCGGCCCGTGACACACGGCCGCCTGGTCACCGCTCGTCAGGTCCGCGTCAGGTCCGCCAGAGCCGACAGTGCGGCTGACGCACCGCGGCCGGCGCGCGGCCGGTGCCCGTTTCACCGCCGCCGCGAATTCACGCCGCCGCCTTACCGGCGGCGATTTACGACACGTGTCGCCGGCGGCCACGTCAAGCCGTCAAGTACCGGCCCAACAAAACAGCGCTGGCCGACCGGCCTGGCGCCGCGCGGACCAGCTCGTTCGCCCGGCCGCCGGTTTCTCCCAGTGCGGAGGGCCGCCGGCGTCGACACGGCCGTGCCGCGAGCCGCCGGCAACACACAAACCGGGCCGCCGAGCGCGCCGGCGCGGGACACGCACCGGCGCCGAGCGAAGGCCACTGGTATAAAAAGCTGGCCGCGCCCTTCGGCCGCCGCGTGCGCCGGCCCGGCGGGGCTGGCGGGCGCAGCCGACAGCTGGACCGGCGGCGGCGGCGGCGGATGCGCCGGACGCGTGCCGCGAGGGGGAGGAGGGGCCGCAGGCCGGTGACCCGAAATAGCGGCAGCGAGAGCGGCGGCGTCACCGGGCTCCGGCCGCGCCATGTGCGCCCCACCCGGCGCCGCACGTGCCGCGCCGGGAGTCACCGGTCGTCGCCGCGGAGGAGGACGGGGCTCGCGGCGAGCGCGGCGCCGACGACGCACTGGCGTGGGACGCGTCGCGGTGGTGCGGCGGCGTCATTCAGTAGCCAATCAAACAGCTTGTTAGCCAATCTGCCAGCGGAACGGGCAATGCCCCGGCATGGGACAGGAAGGATGCTAAAGCATGTACTTACTGCATGTCATCGTCATCCTTCTCTTTGGTTGGGTACTTCTTTACAAGGCTTCTGAAACGAACGTAATTGCGTCAATCCCTCTCAACGGCGCTGAATAACATTTCTTTCAACAGTTCATCCCGCATTACATAACAAAGCAAACCGGCCGTCAAACAGGCTTGTACGTTTTCGCTGTCAGCACTGTTTGTTTTCACATGTATGCATAAAAGTATCATAACTATCAGTCAATACACGTATGACGCCGATCGAACTGCCGGGGCTCAGCCAGACACACAAATTAACACGGCTTGACATTTTAAACCACGTTCATGACATTTAAAAAACCACGCAAGTTCACTTTCATTTCGAGTCACTGAACGCACCGCCGGTGCCCAGGGGTCACCAGGCCGTTCACGTGCACGGTAACCCCCCGTGACCTGACCGAGGCCGGCGTGAACGGCGCGGCGCGCCAAACACCAGCTCACGTGCCAAAACAGCACCGCAATCTCCCAGCCCGTCAGCCGCGCTCCGAGATGATGCGCGCGATTGCGGCTTCGGCTTTGGCATTATTCGGCCTTGTTGGCAAGCGCTGCGGAGCAACCGCGGAGCCAAAGCCGCGGCCGAGCCCAGAGAGGCGCATTCACACCCACGGCCTACGTCGAGAACGTGTGTGCTCGGGCGTAAAGGTGCTTCTTCCCACATTATTATGCACATTTGGATGTTAACTATTCCCCATCACACATCCTCTTGAAATAATTAATGATTTCACACCATAAACACACGTCCGCCAAAATATACACCCAATGAAATATACTCCCACTGAACTATGCACTCATTTGTGTTTACAAGCAGCTTAAGCCCATCCATCCAACTGTTACCACAACAATATGGCGTGAAACACTGGCCAAACCTTCGTGCTTACTTCTTTTACAAGACTACAAAAACGCCAGTCTTCGACAGAAAGTCTTCGACAGTCTTCAATAACGGTCCTCGAGACGAAAATCATTGACAGTCCCAAATAGTTTAATTGAGGCTCATTCATACTAAGACATGTATTTGGAGATAATGCGCCCTCTCCTATTTAATGGCGCTAACACGACGGCAGTCACGGACTTTCAGAGTATTAAGTGCTCCCGCAGACACACATACCCGCAGGCGACGCACCAATATCCCTCCATCGCCTACTATGAGCTGCTCAGAGCTGACGGCACGGCGTCCCACTAAGTCGTGCCGCGAGACTGACCTCAGGTCGGCGGCGTAGCGGTTCTCGACGTCGGAGCGGTCGCGCACCAGACGGCCGTACTTCTCCAGAAACTCTAGGCTCTTCTGCGTGTGCGACGAGATGTTCTCGAACTGGTCCTGCAACGGAGAGGCCATCCGGCCGTCACGGACGGGCGGCGAAGGACCGTCCGCGGACGTCACCGGCGCGCCCCAGACCCTCTCCGATCACGCCTGGGCGAGCGGCTTGGCGATTTTCCTGACGAGATACGCCGCATGCATCGCCAGGTGTGCAATAAGCCATGACGCACATCGACGAATACCATGCAGTGGCATGCGGCCGGCGGCGTCTGACGCGATCCGCACCACACGACCGCGCCGTAACGGCCGCCGACCATGCGGACACACGCACTCATTCGGCACAATTTCCAGCCGGCTCGTGAGCTGTAACTTATTACGCCGCGGTCGCGCCAACTGGACCGAGATAAGCGGTAAACGTGGGAAGTCACCGCACAGGTATTGGGCCCAGCGCGACAGCACCGCCGGCGATAATATTAACGATTGGGGTTTACGTCACTTCTGGCGATAGCAGGCTGGGTATCATCAATAACAGGCAGGCAGACATAAAGTAAGTTCCAGAAGAGAAAAGTGCGTTCCCACGAAATATGTATGGTATGCAGAGACTGAAAGCCACTGTTAAGGGCACAACATAACTTGCCGCGGCGGCAAGGTGTGTGACACACTTGACTCGCCCAGGACCGCGAAATATAACTGGAACTCCAAACGCCGCTTTGGGCCATACAAAACCCTTCCCTTCAGGCACCTCTGCGTTTCGAATCCACCCCGCAATCGAGCAATATCTTCCACATAATGTACTGTATTGGAGCCACCGCTCTGCTGACCTGGCACCGCTATACTGCACCGAGCTACCAGCCTGGCCTCGCTGTACTGCACCGCGCTGCCAGCCTGGCCTCGCTATACTGCACCCCGCTGCAGGCCTGGCCTCGCTATACTGCACCGCGCTACCAGCCTGGTCTCGCTATATTGCACCGCGTTACCAGCCTGGCCTCGCTATACTGCACGCCGCTGCCGGCCTGGCCTCGCTATACTGCATCGCGCTACCAGCCTGGTCTCGCTGTACTGCACCGCGCTACCAGCCTGGCCTCGCTATATTGCACCGCGCTACCGGCCTGGCCTCGCTATATTGCACCGCGTTACCGGCCTGGCCTCGCTATACTGCACCACGTTACCAGCCTGGCCTCGCTACATTGCACCGCGCTACCAGCTTGGTCTCGCTGTACTGCACCGCGCTGCCAGCCTGGCCTCGCTATACTACACCGCGCTGCCGGCCTGGCCTCGCTGCACGGCACTGCGCTGGCCGGCCTGGCCTCGCCGTACGGCACCGCGCTACCGGCCTGACCTCGCTATACTGCACCCCGCTGCCGACCTGGCCTCGCTGTACTGCACCCCGCTACCGGCCTGGCCTCGATGTACTGCACCCCGCTACCGGCCTGACCTCGCTGCACTGCACCGCGCTGCCGGCCTGGCCTCGCTATATTGCACCGCGTTACCAGCCTGGCCTCGCTATACTGCACCGCGCTGCCGGCCTGGCATCGCTGTACCGCACCAGCTGACTTTGTTGAGAGCACGAGACGACGTGCAGACGATTCGGGAGGGAGGTCTCGCCGACAGCGGGAGCGACGCTCCGTTTTCGGCGCTATGACGAGGTCACGTGACCTGGCGGCGAGCCCCGACCGAGGCGGGAGAGGTCAGAGGGAGCATGGGGAGAGAGTGCAGTCAGAGCCCAGCCTTCGACTCGGTACAGGCTGCCGGGCTGGGACGGACCGCCGGCCGGCGCGCGGCCGATGTGAACGACTTGTGTCTCCGTCGCTCGCCTCGACAATCGCCAACGAGTGCTGTCAATCCTTCTTTCATTCGGCCAGGACTACCGTTAAAATATTCAGTTCAGTGTTCTCGGTGCTACTATCTGAAGACTCTTATTTGCCTTTCTCACGAGGGGCCCACTTGTGTACTGTGTAAAAAGACCTCCACGTCAAGTGATACCCACGTGCTGTCGGGGGGACTAGCACAGGCTCACGGACATGACAGAACGGTCGCCGGGTCGCAAACACTGCCTGCTGTTCGTTCCTGACCCATGATGCTCAGGTGTCCCTGCTCTTATTCAGGCATGTTATCCCTCATACTGAATGGCCCCTAGGGTCCCAGACTACTGGGATTAAAAGGGACCCTCCACTCAAAGAAGTATGGAGGGTCCCTTTTGGATGGAAAAATACAAAAGATGGACTAATGTACAAGTAGTCTCAAGCATTCTTGTGATCTACTCCATAGTCTTTGTCAACAACACAGGTAGTGAACAAACAAGGCTTTTTACATAGTGAATCACACATCATGCCAGATAAATACAATTTAACTAGTAAAAAACAATGTCATAAATTACTTGGTTGAGTGGCCTTTGTACTGGAGCCTTTGCCCAAAGACCACTTGCTGTATGGGAAACAAAAGACAATCTATGAAAATGCTTGCTCAAAAACAACTTCCGAGGCTTCTTTGTAATGTGACATTGATATCAGAGACTGACTAAGACTGCACAGACAACTATTTTGTTACCTATGCTGTTAATGTCATACTTGCCATTCCTGCCAACACCCTAAATTTGTCCAGTTGGGTGTCCAGGTTAGAGGCATAAATTCATGCTACCAGAATCCTTGCTCTCTGACAGCATCCACATGCAATTCATTGATGCTAATCCCTTGCCCTTTGACCCCAAAGCCAAACACCTGAAATGCCCAGCCTATTTGTCAAGCCTGAAGCCTTGAATGCGGGGTTGACTGCTGCCATGTTTAATGCAATTGGCCCATAGCAGGCACGGGAACAGGCAATGGGCAGGACATGCCAAGCCAAGGTTACAATAGCATGACAGAATATTGACACCCCAGACACCTAAGAGGTAGAATATTGAAACACTAACTGCTCCTCATATCAAACCATTCCACTAAACAGGAGCAATAGCTCCCAAAAAGTTGAGGGTCAGGAATGGTTCTTTGCACCACCTGGCTATAGTACAGTTTAAAACAAACAAAACAATCACATTCAGAATCATTTCAAACTACTGATACCATTCAATAAGAGTGATGTGTTGATCACAGCATTAATTGATGGACAAGCTGATTTTCAGCAAATTTTATTGCCAGCAAAGTGGCAATTGGTGCAATGCAACATGGGCATCTACATTTATATCTGCACAGATTTCTGTAAGGTTTCAGCCCAATAGTCACATGAAGAATTGGTGCAATACAATGCAAAGAGAAAAGTGATAATGACACAATGCCTTATCAGGATTTGAGAAAGCAAAGGCAGATTCTATTTATCACACCTCATGCTGCCGCCAAACTTCACCAAAACCATCTTTTGTAGAATTCCACTGGAGGTGTCGAATTCAATGATCCCTGGCCATTTTCTTTGCATCTAAATGCTTAAAGACAAAAATTTTCACTTGATTGAGAAATACATTTGAGACACCAAATAGTAGCAGCTACAAAAACTCCAAAGCATAATTCATGGGTGAACTTGGGTAAAATCCTGAACAATCTTCTTAAGTTGTGCTCCCTGGCCTAAGTGAATACATAGTTCCCTTATCATTTCTCTAATCCTTTACATGCCATTCACCTGAGATCACATGAAAATAACACCAAATAAACAAGAACATAGAACTTTGACTGCTCTTTTATTTTTGTGACCTCAGGACAAACAATTTATACTAACAGGCATTTCAAAAGTACTGGAAGGACATGACACTTTTCTCATCAATATGATACCACAAAACCAAAAGAATGTGTTTACCTGACTCTGCCACATCTCACATTTTCATGAACTTTGGCAAAGTGCCTGTAGGCACTCACAGGCATTTGGTACTTGACTGGATTTGGCATCTACTCAACCATTTGTGTACTCAAACACCTTGCACTTGTCAGGGGTCATAAGGGAGCACAGTGTGTCTTAACATTTTCAAATCAATTTTGATGCCACATGCCATAAATTCAGTGCACAGCCATCATCTATTTCAGCTAGCCCAATGCTTCAATCAAATGAGGCATTGTAGTATGCACAAAATATCTTAATTATATAGGAAAATATTCTCTTCCTGAAAAAAATTACTACACCACCAAGCTAGACATTCTGAGTGGCAGACATCAGCTCATGTATGGGGCCTTTTCAGGAGTGTTGGACCCTTTATGTCTGCATCCTAAACAAAACCTTAACCTATGCACTGCACACTGTACCTATCTGCAAACCAAGGCAGAGACATGCCACCAAAAAGGACACCACTCACACTGTCACACTGAGTGGACAGCATCCTGCCATACACAGGGCAGTATGCCACTCAATTTGAGGTAGACGTTATTAGCATTAGTTACCCCCAACATGACTGCTTGCCACATATGGCCATATTGTGTGATCTTACTGGTTTTGTAGGCATGCTATGGAGTACATTCAGCCTGCAATGCTCCAATTTCAGAGTTTCAGCCACAGAGTCTGGAAAAGCTGCCCCAAATTGGAAGTTGTATCCACCTCTGCCCCACAAGACCTCACCAAAATCTGCCATGGTTTGCAGCCTGGACACTGTCTATATATAACCAGATGCATGCCAGCTGACTGAGCTCATGCTACTCTGGTCTTGAAAAGTGTTCCATTATTCTTGTTCCATAAGGATGACAACATCTTATAGACCAGGCATCCACAAGGTATTATCTAAAGCTGAAATGTGATGAGGCAAATCAACTTCAACACCTATATATCCTTCCAAGGCATTGAATTGGACCTGTTAGAAATGAATCGTACAGTCAATTCTTGTTAAAAGTGATCATGGTGATTTTTAGAAAGCATCACCTATCTGAAAAACTTAACTTAAGTCACTACCGAGATAATATAACTGATGACTCACCCAGAGCTCGGTACCCCACGCCATGTCCAAGAGATCTGGTTGCACCAGCCGCAACCCTCTGCTGCGTCTCCTCAAGCTGTGCTCACGTTGAGTCACACCATGGTGTTGTAAATCACACTATAGACGCACCAGAAAATTCACTCGAAACCTCTCGCACCAACGGCCGACTCTGCACCCACACGCACTTTCGCATCCACACCCGCCCGCGCTTGCCCGCAGCCCCCCGATTCACCCGACGTGGTTTACGCGCAGACGGCGGAGATACCGACCGTGCTCGTCGCATTCGAACATAAACGCCCCGCACGGTACTGTAGTAGCCATTGCTAATCGCTTTAAATTCCTTAGAAAGTACAAATTTAGTGACGTCAAAAATACTTAGAAGTCGAATGAAATCCAATATATATCATATCTTACGTCATAATATTTGGTGCCAGAAAATCGTTTACTCAACTGGAATACGTGGAAGAAACATTTCTACCAGCGACCTCGCCCTAGAGTTTTCATGCCTGTGTTCGAAAAACGATAGAATGCCTTAAATAAACCTTGTTTTTACCAAAAGCACACGTTTTATTTAAAAACTAGCCTTTTTACAACAAATATCACAAATCTTCAAAGAAACCTGTAATTAAATTGAAAATTTCCTTAATTTTTAAACAATATACATAACCGCGTGACGAACGTGTTACACCTTCATGGTGCCTTCAGCACTTGACAGGTTGGTGGTTATGTGGATGTGTTTTGACATTGGGAGGGCTGGTACTTGAAGAACGCTCCAATGGTTACGTAAGAAGTATTTGTAAACTTATGTGTTGGAAGATTTTCATAGCTTGTGTTGCGGGGAGTAGTTGAGAAATAGGGTTTTGATGTGCAGTGAGTTGCACGCGCGAGCATTGAGGCACTGTTGGCGATGTTTAATCTTTGGAATGTTATGGTATTTGTGGGCCCAGGTTCATGCTAAGGAAGCGGCTTTTGCAGAAAAGTCCTGTTAGGTGGAGGCACACTTATGTACACCTTGCCCTTTACATGCTGAAATGTGACATCCCAGGGCATAGGGAAAATGCTTGAATTAAAAACAGTCAAAGGGCAACATGTGCATGGCTCACAACAGCATGCTAAAACATGGGGGCAGGGGTGAGAGCAGTGATCCCAGAACCCAAAAATGTTAAAGGTCATAAACAACATGACTCAATTGTTATAGTCCCCAAACAGTTGTTTCCCAAAATGATGCTAAGTGCATTGTGACAGATGATGTGCCTTTGTCATATGGGTGCACCGGAGGACTGCTGCCAGGGCCCAATAATGGCTGGTGCCTTAGCCCCATCCAGGTTGTAATTGTCAAGAAAATCCAGTGTATGTGCTGGCATCCTGGTTTTTGCTAGGTTCTTGGATGATTTCATGCAAATAGAGGTCCAGTGGTCTATTTTTGTTCTGCTCTGTTCAACTAGTAGGAAATGCCAATGACAGTCATGAGACCATGCATGACACAGTACCTTTTTGCAGGAGTCTGTTGGCATGTTGCGGACGGGGCTCTGCCTGCTGCGGGCAGTGCGGCCGCGGCCAGCCAGAGCCGCACGCGCCGCCTCCTCCCAGGCACCACTGGCTGGTGTTACGGTGGTGGACATGACGCGCGTGCTGGCCGGTCCCTTCTGCACCATGCTGCTGGCCGACCTGGGCGCTGACGTCATCAAGATCGAGCGGCCCGAGCGCGGCGACGACACGCGCGCCTGGGGCCCGCCCTTCGTCGGCGACCAGAGTTGCTACTTCGTCTCCATCAACCGGAGCAAGCGCAGCGTCGCCGTCAACATCGCCACGCCCGAGGGCCAGAACATTGTGCGCCAGCTGGCCAAAAAGGCGGACGTGCTGGTCGAGAATTTCTTGCCCGGCAAGATGGCCGCGCTGGGACTCGACTACGCGCGGCTGCACGCGCTCAACGACACCCTCATCTACTGCTCCATCTCCGGCTACGGCCAGACGGGTCCGTACGCGGCGCGACCCGGCTATGACGTGATCGCCGCCTCGCTGGGCGGCCTGCTGCACATCACTGGCGACGAGGACGGCCCGCCGGCCAAGGTGGGCGTGGCCATGACTGACCTGGCCACGGGCCTGTACGCCCACGGCGCCATCATGGCCGCCCTGCTGCAGCGGTACCGCGACGGCGAGGGCCAGCACGTGCTCTGCGACCTGCTGTCGTCGCAGGTGGCGTGCCTCGCCAACCTGGCCTCCAACTACCTGAACGGCGGCCAGGAGGCGCGCCGGCTCGGCACGGCGCACGAGAGCATCGTGCCGTACCAGATGTTCCGCACGCGCGACTCGCACCTGACGCTCGGCGCCGGCAACAGCGCCCAGTTTACCGACCTCTGCGTCAAGCTGGGCCTGCCGCGGCTGCTCGAGGACGAGCGGTTCGCCTCGAACGAGCTGCGCGTGCGACACCGGCATGAGCTGGTGCCGGTGCTGGAGGCGCGGCTGGCCGAGTGCACCACCGCTGAATGGCTGCGCGTGCTGGATGGCAGCGCCTTCCCCTACGGCCCCGTCAACAACATGGAGCAGGTGTTCAGCGACCCGCAGGTAGGCGGCCGCCACGAGCGGCGCCGGGCCGCGTGCTGGGGACGCGCTGCGGTGCTTGGTGTGGGAATCGCGCTGCGGTATGCGTTTTTTTGTTTTGCCAAGGACTGGCCTCCTTATCCTTGGCCGGCGGATTTTTAGTGGATTAGTGGATTGATGTGGGTTAGACAAGATAAGGCATAGTGCACGTACAGAATCGCGGACCGCAGAGCGGTATCAATGTCACGTCTGATGTTACGCCTGATATCGACCCAGAGGCATATGTAAAATTCACAGCGGAGGAGGGAAGAGCAGTGGTCATAGCTCAACATGTTTGTCTAAGAAATTCATTTTAGCGCGCTACAGAGTTGCGAAGCGTCTGTTGTGGCGCATAACGATTACGTCGCAAGTTTTCAATCTGCTCATCATTTTTTTTTTTCAATCTACATCGACTACATGTGGATTCACCCTCACATTTTGTAGTGACTTATCAACTTATATTATTTTCTCTAGTATAGTTTTACTCTAAATCACCTCCAGAAAAAAACGTTCGTCGATTTCGCAAAGCATGCTAGTTTTCATCATTAAGGCAAGCTGGAAAGAGCATTTTTTTCGAGCGCAGTCGCCGAGCTAGCATAAAATATCGGGCTAGAGGGTGCTAATGGATCAAATGGTCGTTTTGGGGGTGCTGCCAGGCCATTTAAAGTAGATTGGTGTACTGCTCGTTGGTTGTGTTTCCCAGTGTTCGACATCCGATTCTTGGTTTCCGTCGTTTAGGTTAGTTCTTCTACCGAATCTTAAGATCATGTGAGCGTCAGCTTTTTATTGCTGTAGGCACCCTGACGAGACTTATGCGTGGGTGGATTAAAAAAGTTGCTTTCTGCATCTCGACATCAGCAATGAAACCATTCGGAAGACTTTCAAGTTTGTTGTTTCGTGGTATGAAATTCGTAGCTGGTTGTTTTGAGATACAGCTCATTGTTTGGAGATAATATCCACCAAGTTCGTTGTGGTGAGGTGTAGGCAATTGTTAGGAAAGGTTTAGGAAATTTGTGGTTCCTCATACAAGTTTTGAAACAACAACAAATGCAATAACGGCAAAATACAAGCTGTCCTGGCCCCGGCAATCCAGCAGCGGTATCTGGCCTTGGTAGCGGTCCGTTGTAAGAAAGCAACGGCTGTCGTGCTTGTATTCGCTACTCCCAATGTTCGGTGTTCGGATCGCCGCGTTAAAAGCCGAAGTGCTTGCACGCGCTGTAAAAATCTGATCGGTAAAATTGCTCGTCGTGCACCGGGGGCTTCGGATCGCAGCGCGATAAAATCTTGACACGACTGCCGCGCTGCATGACGTACATCACATGTGTCTCGTGCGCCCGAAGAGCAAAACGAGGGTTAAGACTGACCGGTACAATGCAGCACTAAGATGGAACAGATAGGGTGAAAGCACACGGACTAAGAGAATATACCACAACCATTCATGCATGCAGCTCAAAACGGTGCTTGGTGGCGCCCAATCGCTTGAAGGAGAGATTCCCATTTCGGCACGTCTTTTCAAAATGTTGCGGGACCGTTTTCACCAGGTGCGTGCTTGGGCCTGGCGCCGACCGTCGCCTGCCGCCTCCACTCGTGTTACCCCTGATCCGGTACCAAGGGTACTGGTACTCGGTACCCTTCTCTGCCGTCTCACCCCTCCCCTGCTGGGCTTCCGTGCGGTTCCCGGCTGCCCAACGCTTTACCCTCGATGCCCTGCCGCAGGTGCTGCACAACGGCCTGGTGGAGGAGGTGGACCACCCGACGGCCGGCCGTCTGCGCGTAGTGGCGCCGCCCGTGAGCTACAGCAAGGCTGAGAACCGCGTGCGCGCGCCACCACCGCTGCTCGGCCAGCACACGGACGAGGTGCTGCGCCAGTTCATGGCGCTCGACGACCACCGGCTGGCCGAACTGCGCCAGCGCGGCGTCATCCAGTGACACCCGTCGCGGTCGGCGGGGGCTGCGGACGGCAGACGGGGCATGGCGAGTTTGGCGATCACTGATGGCGGCGGGTCGGGCTCGGCGAGGACTTTCAGTAACCGCTGTCCTCGCGTGCTGACGCCTCAGAGTGGACATCCAGTGGCTTCTAACGGTAGCCATTGGATGCTGCTGCGGGTGGTGACTGTTGGCGGTAGATGCCAGATAGTGGCTGCTGCATTCGTCAGTATATCCTGACAGTGGGTAGTGCCTACTGACAGTAAACAGTGACTCTTGACAATGAGAAATGACTGGTGAAGGTGGGCATCGACTGGGCGTGAGTGGGAAACGGAGCGATGCTGCCTGGTGGGACGGTGGCTCCATCTTTTCGAGCAAGACAGCCGCCACCCCAGAGACTGCGAGTACAGCGGGGTACCCTCTTGCTCACCTTGTTGGTCGGACCAGGATTGTAAGATGCAAAACATTGACTGATGTCGCGTTAGAGGGGACGAGTGATTAACCCTCGCCTCGATTCGCCGATTTTCATAACGCGAACTGATGGGGTGAGGAGGGAAGTCGATGCGACCCCCTGTCATTTCCAAACTAATGAAGATCTCACGACTGGTACTCATTTTTGTGTAAGTCAATAATTGACACCATTATGTCAAGTCAAGAGCAGCTATTCGTTGAAAGCGCGTTTTTAAGATTTGCATAATTAATACGAGACTATGCCTCGTGACAATACATAGCATAAACAGACGTGTCCCTTGTTTGATTCGTAGTACATTGGTGTCAATTTTGACATATTTTAAGCATTTCTGATACATGGCTCCGGTAATGAGCAATGTCGGCCTGCCTCTCGTGTTCTACGACGTCGTCGGTTGCCATCGCACCGTACGCAGATCGCTGTGCAGTATTCCTCCAAACCACCGCTATTTCGAAACGAGAAAAGCTATGAACACTTTTTTAGCTACAGCGCAAGCGTAGGCTGCCGAAAGTTTTGGCGCGATTGCACAATATGCCCGAGAGGTATCCTCACTAAACCTGAGGGGCAGGTCGCATCGACCCCTCCCCCCATCAGAGCGAGCGTTAAACGAATTGGGCTCACCAAAATAAATTAAGTGCTTGAAAGGCTACAGCACACTTCCCTTAATATTTGTTTTGCCGGGAATATCCTCTAAGCTGCAGCGATTTTGCAAACGTGTTGAATTTAGCACGGGCCCAGTGATAGTCGCCCGACACAATAGTGCCCACCATATGACACTGTTCTATTCCGTAACCTTACGGCCGAAGACGAGGAGCAAATCAAATGCTGCTTTTTGAAGTGTTAAGCCTTTGGAACCAACTTTTCTGCTCGTTCTACCGTTCTAGCCAAACGACATGGGACAAATGTTTTGGTGCATCGTTCAAGCATTGTGGGGGTTATATTTCTTCCAAGTGATCCCAGCCGCCGTGATAAGCTACCAAAAGGCCTGTTGCCAGGGTGATGCTGAGCTCGAGTTGGAACGAGCGACTGAACGGGATGGGAGGCGTGGGTGTCCGAGGGCTGGAGGTCTTGGCTTTGTTCCCAGCTCGTGACATCGTGCTCCTAGTGAGCGAGGGCAACACAGCATTTTATGCCGTGCTGTGCCGTGGTTTTGCTGCTCCGCTTTACAATTACGCTGGTAGCGCAGGGGTTTCGAGAAGCGCGTGGAAGGTCAGAGGTATGCAATTCGCATCCCAGCGGTACCTGTCATTTCTGCAAGGGTCAGAGGTAGGCGACGTTTTATGGCTTCATTCTCTGAGTGTGGGGCAAATTCCCAATGACATGAACAACGAGCGACGTGGCAGCTGTCGGCTATCGGGTAATGTGAACGGACTCTCGCTAACTGTCGTTCATTGAGCTCTCGTGTCGAGTACGGAGGTCTGGGAAGGAACGGTATTCGAACTGGTTGTGAAAGCGTTGTAGGAAATGTGCAGTGATTGTAATTCTCAGGCTTTGCTGTGACTGTTGGCATGAAGTGATGCATTACGGTATGAGGAAATGGTTGTTAAAGGTGCTGGTGAATTGGTTTCACATGACGCTGAATCAGCTGTTGTATCTGCGGCGAAGTACAGCTTGGATGGAGTAAAAAGGAATTACCCTGTCACAATAGCCTCACTTACCTTATAAATGCTTGATCCTGTCTTTGAGTCCCTAAACTTTGCACTGGAGTTTAACAACATTACTCATGTATCGTAATGCTACACTGCCCATGATATGTTCTTGGCAAGGATCACCAAAAAGGTATGATGTTAGCATGGTTGTGTGCCCTCAGCCATGCTCAGCACTCGTTTTTTCATGCCATAGGTGTTTCCGGTTTGCTCCAATGACGGAACTGCTTGCCATTGCGCGTGACTGTGTATTGGCACCAGTTTTGGTGCCGAGGGCGCATGGTTTTGTTGTGCTTTACGGTCTGCGGTCAACGTATTTCTTGCTGGCTATTGACGGAGTCCATCCCTCGAGAGTTCATGTAGGAGCCGGATTGCTGCATCGCGTGACTGGTAGTAAACGGGATGGCAACAGCTCAACGCTCTCGGCATTATCAGCCGCGTCATTTTCGGTGGTGGTGTTTCGCGTTGGAGTTGTTTGGCGCCGCTCACTGATTGCCAGAAAATGAGTGTGCGACCTCGGCTGTAGCGAGTGTCTTCGGAGGCTTGCGACTGTGACAGATCCACAAACAATTAGCCAATATACTGCCTTGAAGCATGAACAATAATCCCATGTTTGGAAAGGCTGCCTTTGGTGGGCGAGCTTCCCCGACACCTGTAAGGACGGATACGGCTGATTGGATGTGGTTGGCGGGTGCGGTAGCCTTCGTGTAAGGCTGCTGTCAGCTGGCGCGGATGCAGCAGCCGTGCCATGGTCTCCAGGCTCCGGCGAGCCGGCGCCCTACCGTCTCTGCCCGCACGCCGCCTGCGCCTGCCGCTTCTCTGCGCCCGGTTCACACGCATCCGGTGCTGACTTCAGGGCTACGACATCGTGGAGAGAGCGTGGGCGGCGGTCCGCCGGTCATCCAGCGTCTATTTTCTGGGTTGCAATTGTAGAGGTTTTGCGCTGAGAATGATATTACACGGCTCCTGATAACCTTTGGGGCGCCATACATACATGTTTTGTACGTCGAAGGCCAGCTGCCTGGATTCTAGAATATGCAGTAATCTCCAGTTATCTCGTCAACAATAGTAGTTGCTCAAGCTCACGTTTGCACCACCCAGTACGGCGTGGTAGTGCTTGTGCGGTAGTCTTAACAATTGAAAACGACTTCATGTGGAAGCGGCGTTTGTCGCTAAATTGTTACGATACTTTTTCCTCAGTGGCCAACGATCCGCGCGTGAGTGGGAGGCAGCCAGCATGAACGACAGCGTGAACGACAGCGTGACAACGACATGAACGACAGCGTGGAACGCGCCCGGATACCCGGACGTTGCGAGGGCGGCAATTCTTCAGGCACCTCTGCTAGCTATGGGCGCGACATGTGCCCAGTCCCTTACACAACTGTATATTCGTTGTTGATTTTGCACCTAGCTGTCTGGACGGCGGAACTCCAAAGTGAGCATACTCATGGAGGCTCGTCGAGATTGGAAGCGCTTGAGAAAGGCAGAATATGAGCGGCGGCGCCGACAAACTGGCACCAGGGTCTCGTCGGGCGTCTCGGCTCAAGCGGAACTGGGGCCACGTTCACAACGCCACACCAGGGGTGCTCTGAGTGTGCTGGGATCCGACAGTAGACGTGATCCGGTTACGGGCAACAGTTTCGGTGAAAGGGAATGTTTCGCATTTAACGATATTGAAGCAAGCATCATATACGATGAAACGAACTCAGTTATAAATATTCGTATGCTTTGCGAGCGGAAAAGACTGCCCTAGACAGCACAATTCTCCATTCAGCAAATGTGCTTCTCAATGCGTCACGGCTTGATCACGTCATGGTACCTTGCACAACATTTATTAAGTGCCAATTGACGGCCATTATATCTGAAAATCACGCATACGAACGCCAGCCTTAAACGCCTCGAAAATTATATTTTTCTTGGTGTTGATCACCGCATGGCTTATGGAATCGCAGGATTTAAATGGCATTATCATGACGTCATGAATGCCGGGATGGCTGAAATACCCTCCCCGATATACCTTCCCCAATTTTCGCCGGCGAGTGGCTCAGAGACTAGAGGGGTTTAGGTCTTACGAAGGATGAGATTGTGAACAGCACCGCAAGGTCTTCAGGATGGTTATTTCAGTTCAGAACCCCATATAAATGTGGAACACTCCCTTTAATGTCATGACCTGCCTCATCCAGGGCATCGTGACCCTGCAAGGAATAAAGGAAGCAGACAAATCTGTTTGGCCATTAGGTCTGTACAAAATGGCGACAACCGACTTAAAAAACTTTCCGTGGTGAAGGCGTACCACGTGATGTATTAGACTGTGGTATACTCTTCCACTGAAGGCTACCAACAACGCGGCTAAATGCCATCATCCATGCATGTTCAAATAATCACGTCACGTGACAAACTACGTCTTGGCTCACTTCATCATACACGACGACTTGTTATGCCGTGCCTTTTACCAAACGTCATACGACGAACTGACTCAGTGGGATTCCCGAGAGGGAGTCCCCGGCGCAGCCCCGCGCGGCCGACACTCGTCTGACGAACCACTGTGCCCCCGGGGCCGGCCGGGCCGAGCCAGCGGTCACGCGGCTGGAAAGTCCGGCGCTGTGCTGACCTGCATGCCCGCCGGTCCCAGCCGGCTGCGCGTGACGAGCCCCAGCAGGCCGGCGTCGGGTGCATCTGGCCCGCGGCCCACCGGGCATGCCGCCTGAATCGGTGGGAGAGGCCCATCTGTCGGCCACGCCTGTGAGAGCGGAACCTGGGCGGTGGCGCGATGTTTGGAGCGGTGGCTTCCGGGCGGCCGGGTTACATGCTGTGGCTGGCCCAGGCTCGTTGCGCAAGCCGTACAGGGCTGGCATATCGCGATGACCGATGACCGGTGTCGGTGAGGCAACGGCCGGGCTTGCAACTGGCTTGGGTTGACTTGTTAAGCTGCATAAAAAAACAGCTACATAAGCACACATTGTCAGCGCTTATGACTTACCTGTCGCAACGAACGCTAGTCGATTTTCTGAGTACACATTTCACAGGCCGCCACACATAACTTCTAGCAACGAGGCATGATGAACAATTTGGTACAAAACCAACCATAAGTAAAGCAAAGTAGAGATAAAAAATGAACACCTGGAGCTCATGCAGGAAACGCGCTGGCAAGCGATCTTGCTGCGTGGTGGCCCTGGTCGACACGGCGGCACGCGGCCCTCTGCCGGCCTACCCGGCCCGCGCCTATGTCATCAGTAGGCAGGCAGGTTGGGTTTGCTTTCCGGCCGGATATGATTATATAACATGGCATGTATCGGCGATAGCGGATAGCAAACACGTTCGAAAGCGGATAGCACATACGTCATGTCAAATCTTCTGTCATATGTGCTGCGGACCATCAGCTGCTCCCTCACGACTGGGGCATTTCCCGACGGCTGGAAAATTGCATGCGTGGAACCCACCCTGCAGTCAGGGGACCCAACTGTACCAGCTAACGGTAGACCCATACCTTTCTTAGCATTCTGTCGAAAATGCGCGAAAAAGTCGCTCGCAACCAGCTGAGCACGTACCTCCACAGTAAAGATATTGTCAGCCCTGCTCAATTTGCCCAGCGGCAAGGTCGCTTCACTAAGGACGGTTTGTACATT